GTTGTACAACCATATGAGACCCAGAGGCAGAGTCGGTCGCAGCTTCCTTTTTTTCCTCCTCCTCCTCTGCTCGGCGCTCACTCTGCATGCTGTTCCCAGAGCAGGGAGCAGCAGCGGTCAAAAGACCTCAGAAACTCAAACAGATAGGCTTTAACAAGGCTTTAATAAGCTAAACAATAGAGCTACATGAGAAAACGTGTTCATAACGAATGAAAATAAATAATTAAATTGAATGTGTCCGTCTCAAATCCTGGTCCCCCACTCTCTTGTCCAACACTCTACCCATTGCCCTATTGGAGGCTTGTTGTGAAATGAGCTGCGCATTGCATAACAACAACCGTGATGGCTTTTTATACTGAGGAGGTGGAGCTTCACCCGGGGGTTGCTATGGGGCTGAATGCAGGTTCCGGTGGGTTGTCGTACAGCTTGTGACATAACAAAATGACGGAAGTATAAAACTTAACTTAACTTAACCTTTAATATACATTAAAATACATTTATTTACAGTAAATATGCCCCTGGGTGCATTTATTTGGTCCTAGGACTGTTTTTTAAGAAGTACATACACAAAGTTGAGTAAAAAAAAAACTTTAAAAAGTGAATTTTGCATAATAGGTCCCCTTTAATATTTTTGCTGGACATAGGCAGGCTGGACAAAAGTCACAAACTGCCCGCGTGCCGCCAGTTGCCCATCCCTGCTCTAACAGGAAGGCAGATTTAGAAAATTCCTGTTGAAAGTGCTTCAATCTGCACCAAACGCTACAGTTAGTTCCTGCCGTTGTCACAGTATTTATGCTTGCATAAAACCATAGGATTTTATGTAAATAACTGTGTAATGCAAAACTGACAGAAATGGGTTTCTAAAATTTACACTCTGCTAAGAGCTTTTTGAGATTAGAGCTGTTCTAAAACAGCAGCAGCTCACTTTGGGTTTTGGTCCTGCAAGGACATTACCTCACCAACCTCATCAGAACTAATCAATATTTCTCCAAACTGAGGTCATTCAAAGAGCTATTCAAAACAGATAAAATATCAGTTGTTTATGAGCTTTTCACAGAATCTCATTTCAAATGGTGCTTAAAGTAGAGATTCTGATGCAGAGTTTGATACACGCTGGAAGGATCAATGTTCTGCTCGTCATGCTCCCGAGGATCAGCAAATGGGAATATTACATGCACTACATTAGACTTCACCGCCTCTTCGCAAGGACTCCTGCCTCCAGCTCCAACTTACCGTCTATGTGAGGCATGGTGACGGTCACTTTGATGAGGTTAGGGTGTTTTGGGTCATCTGCTCCAGTGTAGCGAAGCTTGGCAGAAAAAGGCTCGGCGCCGACAGTTCCCCTCTTGCGTGGCTGGCACATGCCTTTCAGTGACAGAAACACAAACTCAATTCTGAATACAATCGCAGACAGAGGGGTCTTGAAGAAATAAAAAGAGTTATCTTAACAGCTTTTTTGTCCCTTATTAAACCCATGTTTTAGTTATTTTTAAAAATGCAAGCATAACGTTACATACATTTTCCATATAATCATTACTGAGCCAGGTAGCAATTTTCACATTTGTAGGAATTTCTTGTGGCCACCCAGAGAGAGCATGCCAGAACCTGTTGCTGTCTTGATGTGTAGGTGGACTGAGTGCAGCATAAGTGATTGCTTAGCAACAATGAAAAAAAACATTTTCTTTCTCCCATTTCAGAGAAATGAATGATAGCTCTGATCCATTCACAAAAGACAGCTTGTAGCAGCATTGAGTTATGATTCACTGAAGCTGATGTAAGAGGTGAACATGGTGCAAGTGCCATTTGCCTAATCCTATAAAACACAACRCATATTAGAATATTAAACAGTGTAGAAAACAAGATCAGCCCTTCAGCTGCAAAAGGTGCTGGAAAATTTGCGAATGTGAAACCATTCAAATGTTCTATATTCCTTCAAACATGTGAGCCAAACCAGAATAATTCACCAAAACTGGAAAAGTTAAAACAAAAAACTTTCAGACAAATCCTGATGCGGACAATTAAATTAACTCAATTACAAACATAGTCACAAAGATTGTGTTTGATATATTCACTGTGAAACCTCACAAGAACTATTACACATCTGTGAGCGTCTAAACATGAACATTAGCAGTTCTGTTAAAATTAGAATCAGGTGTTTGAAATAATTTCGGTGACAACACTGTCACATTAAAAAAGTTAAATTTGTCAAAGTTTGATCTTCTCAAACTAAGCTTCTTTATGGGCGCCGAGTGTAAAATAAAATGTTACAGTTTAGCTCACTTCCTGAGTGTAGTTAGAAAATCTCCACTAACATTTTTTAGCACACTGTTCTCACAGTTTGCAAATTTTTACTAACTGTTAAATTTAAATGGTAAATGTTATGTGTAAATGTTAAATTTTAAATCTAAATGTAAAGTGTAAATCTTAAATGTTGTGGTTAAATGTTGAAGCGTAGCTACATTATTATATGTACGTATATATTATGTAAACATATATTCTATACGTATTATGGAACGGAACAGTCTTTGTTGTTGGTGCTCAGTTCATGTTGTGATGTCATCATCCTGCGACAAAAGCAACCACTAACGATGCTGAAAATAGCATTTAAAATCCAAATTCAAAATATATTTATTAAAACCCACATGGACGGTACCTGCAGTTCAGCAGTTTGAAGTGCAACTACAAGTTTGATGTCTTGTAGAGAAGTGTAGGCTGTCAGCAGCGTTAGTGGATGCATTTGCTTCAGAATGATGACGTCATATAAGAGTCGAGCACCAAAAACAAAGGCTGTGTTCCATTCCGAAATACTTAAATACAAACTTCAACACTTAAGCCTGAAACATACTCGMTCCGACGCCCACGGGTCGACGCGCAGTCACGTGGTTGTTMGGCAGTCATTTTCGCACAGACCTTTCATAGTCCTTACGATACCCCAACGCCGAATTCGGGAAACCCCCCTCCTGAAACATTCGTCATTGCATGGAGTTCCCCCGCAACAGCCGATAATGCAGAAAAAAAGTCAGATTTGTCACTCACCCGACATATTTATCCACATCTGCCCTGGTTAAAGCTCCGCAGTTTTTATCAGTCAGATTCCTCCGTGCACAGCATCTGTTTATCTCCATTCATGAGTTTTTCACGGAATGACTATCTTTATAAAACTCTACTTCCAGGTGTCGGYTCYGGGAGCGAGTCGGGTTTTTTTTYCCCTCTTTTTTTTACGAGTGCAGCAGCGCTTTCAGCACAAACAAACAAGCTATAAGTTTTTCACAGTTTAACTATCTTTTAAAACTCTGCTTTCTAGTCTAGGAGCGAGTCGTTCTTTTTTCTTTTTTTTCCCCCCGAGCGCAGCACAAACAAACACGCCCACGAACCCCAGATCACTCACAAATTACCGTCGACATGGGAGGGGGGTCAAAAAGTGCTGCCAGCAGGTTATGCCAAAAGGGGCTGTCGACACGACACTGAGAAGCCCGGTGACGTAATTTTCGTCATTAAACTGCGACAACCCGTGCCGAYGTCGGCAGTTCGCAGCGAGTATGTTTCAGGCTTAAAACATAACGTTTACCATTTAGTAAAAATTAAAAAAAAAGTAGCTAATTAACAATAAAGGTTAGTGGAAATTTTTCAACTAGGATTTTACACTCAGAAAGATAAATAAATAATGACAATGTGTTAGCGGCAATTTTTTAACACTTTATTATACACTTGGTGCCCCATTCTTCTTAAAGTGCTAGGAAAAACAATTGTATGCAACACACTAAAAGTGACATATAAACTGGTGCTATCATGATATGGGCCGGTGTTTTTGGCTTCTGGATTACAAGAGCCAATTATTGATAGAAAAGTCATTTTCAAAGAAAAAATAAAATAAAATATGAATCTGAACAGAGTTTGCCTGTTCTGTCTGTGCATGCATGGGTTTTCTCCAGGCACTACAGTTTTCTCTCGCAGACCAAAAACGAATGTTAAGCTAACTAAATTGTCCTCAGGTGTAAGTGTGAATGCTTGTTTGTTTCATTTGTCTCAATGTGTCCTTGTGATGAACCTGTACAGGGTGYACCCCTCCCATTGCACTGTGACCTCTGTGACCCTGAGAGGAAGACGTGAGTAAAGATAATGAATGGATGAATCTGACCAACATTGGTGAAGGATGATTTTATGGTTGTGTAAAAGTCCTGACATAAATCCGAATTATTTATTGTATCCTTTTATGACAATATGCATTGATCTCAGTAGGTTCCTTTATGTAACGTTAATCAAAAGTAATAAAAGAATGAGAAACAATGGGCCCCAAAGCTTCAAAAAAACTGTGTTTTGTGCAGTACTGCGGGTGCATTTGTTCAGAAACAGAATTCTTGAAGATTCATAGTGTTTGGAGATCAAAACTCTTTTCCCAATGCAACACAGGACCAAATCCCAGTGGGATCTTTTTTTCCTCTTGAGAAATAAAAAATGCACAAAACAGGATTCACACATTGTTCAGTTCCTACCTTCCTCTATGCTGATCGTGACAATGGGGCTTCTGAGCTCTAAACCCTCATCCCCGTTGGAATTAACAGCCCGAGCGGCACACTGGACCCTYGAGCCCGCCTGGAAGTAGACCGAGTCCAACGTGATCATCTTGGAGGAAGTGAAGAACGTGTCAAAGTCTACCTCCCTCGCGGGACTGGTGACGCCGTCGGGGCCTGCCGGGGCGCTGATGAGCCAGCGGTAGCGGGTCAAGGTGTTGTTGATGTGCTCGCTGACACAGATCGAGCCCGTCTTGTCGTAGTCGGGGTATTTTGTGTCGCAAGCCTGGAGAAAAGATAAGGGAACGCAGCAGGAATGGGTGGGCAAGCGGTGGCAGCAGAGAGACGGGAGGGGGGGGGGAGATAAAGCAGATGCTGAAGGACAGATGGAGATCGAGAATGTGAATTTACCACAGAAGTGACTCTTGTCAGTAAAACCCAGATGTCTCAGCGTGTTATGGTCTCATAGTTGAGTGCTTACAATTAGCTTTTAGATAATTATCATGTGGAGATAATGAATGGTAAGGGCGAGCTTTAAAAAAGATGCTGTGGATTTGCTTTTAAGCCTATTGACACTAAGCCTCCTGGTGCAGCACTCAATAMTTTTTTTTTGACATGACTTTTTCATTTTATCTCCTTGGGGAACCTCCCACGCTGCTGACCACATCGCAAGAAAATAACCACACTTTTACACACACACATGCTCACAGTCCCAAACTCATACAGCAGCCACCTGAGGATCAAATGACTTAACACATCACAAGAATCCATTTAGGCGTCTCACTGAGTCAGTTTTGAAGGGGAAGATATTCTCCTGTGGATGAAAACTTGAAGACAGGCTTACTAAACTGTGTTTTTTAATGACAAAAAGACMATAACACTGAGGAGAGTTTACCTTGGGTTGAACAAATGGAAGTATTTTGCTTCTGCTTCCTTCATTACAGGATGAAAAAAAGGGAAAAAAATCTGTTTGGTGTTGAGATGGATGTTAGTTTTTCGCCCTATTTTTATTGAGCGAACAGCTGAATATTTTTTTCCAAAGATAACCGAGCCATGTTCCTGAATAGYGTTAGACTCACTGTGACGCAGATGACAGGGTAGCCGGCTGGTGGGTGGAGGTTGTCTGGTGTCCTGGTGGCATCGTCGTAATGGCGCAGTGACACAACATGAGGCAGGGATGGGAAGGTGACGTCAGCCATGCTGTTGGACTCCTCAATGTAAACTATGACTTTAGTCACCTTTTCCATGCGGAGTTTTAAAATGAAAARCAGTCAGTGAAACTTGTTATTCAGTTCAAAGCTCTTAACTAATTGCAAACATTTTCTTTTCCTACCCACTATTTTTGTATTTATGTTTCACCATGTGCAGGTTTTCTTTCCTGTCTTAAGTTAAAGGACTCGCGCTCCTTGCAGGAATGCATAACACCTGCTGYTTTTCGTCTCTCAACATTGCCATTTCTCAACACATCTGGAGTGATTAGTTCAGAGTTGTAGCCAATTGGGTCAAACTTTGGAAAAAAATAAAAATACAAGCCTTTTTTTTGTAATATGTCACACTTAGAATATATGTTGTACATGATTCTYAGCTAAATTTGCCCTAATATCTGGAAAAACTGAGTTATAACTATTGGTTAGTGTACATTATTTGTAGTAGCCATCTTTAATTGGATTGACTCAAAAAGTAAATCAGTTGCAGATAAAYATCTAGTGATTGCTTTTAGGAAATTTCATTAAAATCTGTCCAGTGTTTCAAGAGACATTTTGTTTACAGAAAAACAGGGTTGACTCCAACAGTTAATGCCAGCATTTTAGGCAAGGATTTGAARAAATGAGTAGCACTTGGAATATATATGTGTTGTAAATTACTCTCGCTCTAACACATCCAAATTTTAGCACAATATCTGTAAAACTGGCTGACATATCGCCATTTTGATGCTTTCTAATATCAGCTGRCTGTGGTGGTCATCGTAAACTGGGTTGAGTCCAAAAGCTAATCAGTTATACCCATATATCTAGTGATAGCTTCCTGAAAATTTGATTAAAATCCATGAAGTGGTTCTTGAGATATTTTGCTAACAGAGAGAGATGACTTCAGTTTGTTAGCACTCAACTGCACTGCTGTTTCTTCAGCACATCTTTGGACTAAAGGTGCATAACATCATTGGGACTGACTTGGATATAAATGTGGTTTCTCTCAACATTTACACACACATCCATCACAGTCCATAAAAACTTTAACAAAAAGTGTAATTATTGTGTGAAGATATAAAAAAAACACAGATCTGACCTGAATTTCAGCCACCATGTTTTCGTCAGGCTTAAGATGTAGCAWAAACGCTTCCCTCATTTCTCTGACTCCATCAAACAGCACCTCCACCTCCACAACGTGTTGCTTATCCCCCTKTTTAAACTCAATATCTGAGAAAATGCAAAAACACTGATAAACACAGCTGATGGACTGGAGATACAGCATCACAGTGCAGGAAAACATCAAAATGAAAACTGGAATCATTGAGCTGATTTTGAGTAAAAAAAAAAAGCCATAATCATCAGAGCCAAGTTTCTCTCTTTTATGTTGAATTTACAGATTATCTCGAAAAAGTACAAGAAGCCAGTATAAGTAAGACAGATTTATGTTTTATTAGCCCCTCAACAAATTTCAGTTAATGCATAATTGCCAGAGGCGGTCCATCACTTTGCAAGGTAAGTACCAGACCTTTGCATAAGAAATGTGCTGCTGAGAGATAATATGGKGCAAAATGATAAATTCAGTATTGTGTGATTCAGAACTGCTGGGGAAATGTAAATGTCGGGTGCACACAGGTATGTTTTAAAAAGCCTGAATGTATTCATCCAGATATTTTAAGTCTTGATTGAACTGAATAACGTCCACCCTTCTAAAGGCTGAATGAAAAGATGGGAAKATTTCACTTGGACTTGCTGGGAATGAAGAACAGTGAAACTCTATTAAAATTACACGACCTTTCAAAAGGAGTTCAGGAGAAATTTCTTTTCCAATTTGGGATGAAATGAGAAATTAACAAACCTCGGCAAAATGCTTCCCTATGGTCATTCTCATTACCTTCGGAGTCAWATGGGGATCCTTGTTAAACAGTGGTCAAAAAAAAATCGATTAGTGCCTGCAAATTCATAATAGAAAATTATAAAGGAAGGAAATGTGGATGAAGTTTTGATCCATAGCGGGGTTGTAGAGTAATAAATTGATAATCCCATTCCCAAAACATGTATTTCCTGTATGTTTTTTTCAGATCTACATAAAGTGATGGAGGTGAGCAGATTTTGAAAATATAGACAGAGAAATGCTTTGGTTTTTTCTGATTGGTTGTTTTGCTGTAAAGTGAAACCTTTTTTCGATTTAATAATTTAAAAGCATTTGTTTGCATTTATTTTTACGTTCCGACAAATGTGTACAAAACAGAAAGAAGTAGACAGAAAGTAAAAAGCAAGTCAATGTCAACAGTAMAGCCATCAGAACTGCTTTAAACTCAGCAACTAAACATAATGCTTTATGACTCACTATTGCTTTCCTGTTTAAAGTTTCTTCCAAACACTTTACTTTCCCTCTGGGATAAATAAAGAAATCTGGTTTACAATCAAACAACTTCTGCATAATTTGTATTTTAATCTATCCTATTTACAAGCTCTTTGTCTCAATTAGGAATAGTGTGATATTAAGTTTAGTATTTGCAACTATGAATCTTTTTTAATTATTTAACTTTATATATAATGCAATCCAAAGAAATAGATTGAGATTTCACCAATCTCTTCAAAACATTGCTCTCTGAAATGTACTTCTACGTTTAATTTTTTACTCATGTTCCTTTTTGGTATGGTTTAGCTAAATTTAGCTGTTTTGCTGAATTTAGTTCCTGTTCTGCTAGTTTAAAATGTACTAATGCATTCAAAGTAATTAAATCAACTGATAAAACATTATTAAATATTATTTTTTCGTCCCCCATTTGTGCCCCATGAATGGCGCCTTTAGCGTTGGCCTATATTGCCTATACCATGGATTGCCATCAGGCCTGCATTAACATAAATCTTTGCTTTATTTCAATGTTAACATCCAAAAAAAATAAGTGTGAGGTTTACCTTGAGACACAGGATAGTAGTCCTCCCCTGAGACAGCTGACCCGTCTCTTGTGTGAACCCGAACCACAGACACTTTTGAAGTGTCGCCCACTCGGACCACTGGGATCCTCACAGTCGCCACAGCGCCACTTTCCTTTGGTTCACTGATGCTGAACTTTGTTCCCAAAAAACGAATTATGGGTTCTGAAAACATACAAAACAAGAACATGATGATTGTTAAAATTGAGGATGTAAACCATCAATTTTCTTAGTGTGAGTCATTATAATTTACAGCTATAAATGAAATTATACGTCTTCCATAGTTGTGGGCTATGTTTCAGGCAAATCTTCCAAACCACTGAAACAGTAATTAATCTGATTTTCAGTCGACTGATAAATGCTTCTCCATTACTCTGCCCCCCCTTCATCTCACTTACTGTCTGCAGTGTCCTTGATTTTCACCAGAGCCTCATTCAGAGAACCCACTGATGCGCCAAACCCTGAGTCGCTCTTTGGGTTTCCTAAGACCAGCCGCAGCTCCTCTCCATCCTCGTACAGCGTGTCATCAACCAGTGACAGAGTACACGGCTTCTGCACTTCACCTGAAGGGTACAGCAACATGGTGGAGGAGAAATGTCAGAAGGAGACATAAAAAAGCAGGTTTCTTTTTTATGACAATTGATATGCTTATAACAACTTAGATTTTTATTAATGTAAATAGTAACCTCTTCATTTTGTTTGGTAATAGTGTCAAGCAGCTATTTTCTCATAAAATACATAAATGACAAGACAAAACTGCATACATAATTTTGAATAAAAATCTGTTTCTTTGATTTAAAAATGTAAACTCCCTTCAAAAAATATTCAAAAATTTAAATCTGTGTAATTTCTACCTGGTAAGAAGCTGATGATAGATGCATCTGTGTTGGGTCGCTCGTCGAAGTCAGCACCGACTTGTGCAGAGCTCTGACGGGTGTAACAGCGGACCGAGGATTTGTGACGGATGTCGCCGCTGCGGTACACGGTTACTGTGACCTCACCGTCACTCTCCTCTCCGGTGTAAACAGGCTCACGGAACTGGACCTTTGGCACTATTGTTCAAAGGAACGCAAACAATAGTAACTTTTCTATTACTGATACTATATAAAAAGCACATAGAACAGCAGAAATCACAACAAAGTTTAAGTTAAATAAATAATGCTGAAAAATGTTATGAAAACCTTGATGTAAAGGAAAGAAAATTTATTAGTTTTTAGCTGGGTTGTTAAGGAGTTTACAGACTTTGACATCTTCTAAAAGTTTGTAATTATGTAAGAGACAAAATCCAAAACCATTTGCAAACAAATGTCTTGGTAAGGTAAAATTTACTGCATGATGATCTGATGAGTGATCCTCTGCTTGTGTGTAAAAACATGTATAGGTTGCCTTCAGGCCCAGGCCTCCCTTGAAAAAGAGCTCTGAGATCTCAGTGGGAC